CTGTTGTACAATTATTATTCAGTAATTCCAAAACTATTATCTGTATTTCATGTGATTGCTTCATGAATATATATTGGCTCGATAAATTAAAATGTTCATTTTGCTTATTAGGTTAAACCAAATATTAATTGTTTGAACATCTTAACAATAGTGTCTACCTATGTAAAATGTAGAAAAAACTAGAGTCCACTTAAGTTTATAACTAATTACTAAAAGATTGAATGTTGCTACATTATAATTTACATTGATATTTTTATTACTGTGCAATCATAAATTTTGTCTTCAAACCTTATACATACATATGACAAAAAAGTCACTTTTAAGGAGCAAACATAATTCAACTTTATATCATTGTTTGTTTATTTCTCCCTTCTCTCAACTTCAGGTATATTGGCTGGACATGATAACCGTGTTAGTTGTTTAGGCGTGTCCGAAGATGGTATGGCAGTGTGCACAGGATCATGGGATAGTTTTTTGCGAATATGGAACTGATAGAAAAAAAAAAAAGAATTCAAATCATTTGTTTAAATGTGTGAATCTGTGCACTGTCAGTCTTTTTTCTCTTGGTTGCCGATATTGTTGTTTCGTTTTTTGGCCAACAAAAATAAATAAATAAATAAATATAGGATTGTAATCAATCTAATAATCCGAAAAAAGTTGTTTTCTTCCTCTTTTTTTATCACTGGTTGTTCCTTCTATCTCTCTCCCAGTTTTCACTTTTTTGTTTCTCACATACTAGAAATACAATTGCAGTTGACTTATTATTAATGAGGTAGTTTGTCAGAATTTCATTTTCCCATTCTTTTCTGTTTCTTTTTTACTGCTTTGAGTTTCACACTGCATAGTGAATGGGCTATGTGTGTCTGTGTATGTACTTTCAAGCAAAGTAAGTGATCAAATCCTCCTATTATCTGAGTTTTTCTCAATCGAAGTGTTTTTCTTTTGGTCAACTTTTTTCAGAAGAGAGTTTACAATGTTGTAAGTCAATTAGTCAATTGTTTATTTCTTCTCCTACTACTCTCTTCTAGAGTATACTTTTTATTCAATATGTACAAGACATAAAATGTATTGAGTCTGTTGTGGAAAGAAGATTTAACTTAGTGCGTGTATGTGTAATTTCTCTATAATATTTTATGCTTGATTTCTATTCGCTCCAGCCTTTCTTGCATTTACTTCATAATATAGAAGAGATCTCTGCAATTTTTTTATCTATATGTTTGTGCGCTTATGTACTAACTTGAAGACATAATTAATGTATGCACTTAAGCGTCATATATATGAATATATATTTACGTATTTTTCTCCTGCGAATTACTAGAGATTTTTCAGTATCTGTTCGCTTTCATAATCATTTTTTCGGTTTGCCTTGAATTATACAACCTCTTGGATCTTGTACCTAGAGCGTTTTTATGTAGTACGAACACACAGTTTCCAGCATTTTTTTCTCTCTCAACTAGTCGCTTTATGATTCCTGTAATCATTTCCTTTACAGTTATAGTCGTTAATTTGTAAAATTTAACATACTTGTTTATTTCTGGGCTGTTGTATTCATTTTTCTCTATTTGATGCATTTCTTATAAGTTTGCTTTGTGTTTTACAACAACTATTGCTGCTACCAACACTACCACCACCAAGTTCGTCTATTTGTTTATCTTTCAATTCACTAATGAATAATGCAACTTTGCTAGAATACAAATAAAAAAGACTGTTAAAAATGTTTAAATGCCCGGTTAAATTAAAAATAAAAAATCTATTGTGTATTTACAGTATATAATGTAGAGTGTATTTTATTTCAGAGGAAACTCCGGGTTATTGAATAGTGCTAGAAAGCAGTGATGATTATATAACAAAAAGAAGTTTGTAATTCATTAAATTCTTCATTGGAAACAAAACGTTAGTTGTATTCTTTTTGCCATATTAATATTACTATCTGTTTAACTTCGAGAATGTATTGTTTCATTTTTGTTTTCGATAGTTCCTGTGTGTTGTTCCTCATGATTTATGTAACAGAGGGCATACAAACAAAAGTCTTTTTTGACCTAGTCTTTACCCTTTTTCCCAATACTTAGAGGATTTTTTAAATTTGAGTATTTTTTTTCTTCTGTTGCACATTACGTTAGTCACTTCATTCTTTTATAGTATGATAACAAACTGGACTGCTTTTCCGGACAAAATTCATTGATACCTTTAACAACAACAAATTTAATGCATTTGACAACACTTTATTTTAGGCTTCTTAACACGAATCAGTTATGGTGTGTTTCTTTATTCATGGAGTTGACTTTGTGTTTTCTGATCATCGATAATTGGTGGACAAGTTATTATCTGCCAATTTATTTTTCTTTTTATGTGTAAGACAAAACACCAAAACAAAATCCTATCAACCTGAGGTTGTTTTGTTTTGTAGTGCATCAGGTTTTCGCATAATTACTCACATGTGTAATATTTTACAGAATTACACGTAAAAAATCGAGACTTATTCAGTTGAAAAAATTTTTTAGAACTCGTGATTTTAACTTTGTTCTTTGTCGTATTTCACTATGAAGTGTTTTATGCTTATGTTGGCAATAATAATGTTTGCAAACATCATTAGTAATACAAGTGATGTAGAACAAATTACTTTTGTTAATGCTTTTCACATAATACCGCTGCATGCTACTGTAGAAAATCTGGGAAGTAATTGGTCAGATGAAATATCATTACCAGATAGTTTTGAAAAAGTGAAAAAAACGTGTTAATACCATGTTTGATTTTCATCTAACGAAATATTGTCCAACGAGGAGAGGGATTTTGAAATAATAAGGAAGAATCATAACTCAGTGGGGAGTTTATTGCTAGTAAATTGTCTTTCTGTAATCTAGACCGTCTCATCATTAATTTTCTATGCGACGTTACTAATAGTACAAATCTAAACAAACTACTTATCAGAATTTCCCCTTATGATGACAATAGCTTATCCTGTCGGTATAAAATGTAGTTGGCTTTTATCACTGACTGCGTGTCACCATTTGGACAATTTTCCTGTTAACCGATTTTTACTAATCTAGTAGATTATTATTTTTGCAGAAGAAGCTTCAATTACTTACCAAGCATCACGAAAATGTCCACCTTAATGTGTGTTTGATATAAATAATGTAGTTTCTAACAAAATCTCATTCTATTAGGACTGCTAAATTCTGAATGCACAGAAAATTAGTGATTCTGACTATTAACTATCTATTAGAAGAAATTTTACACAACGTATTTTTTATTGGAAACGTCACAATATCTAACTGTATTTACTCTAAAAATTAATTTGTTGACGCATATCAAATACATGACAATTTTAACAATGCAAAAGTAAGTTGGAATTAAGACTTTCTTTTTCTACAGGCAAGTAATTATTTGCTAATTAACAAACAACTAATGATCATACTATTCAATACATTTATGTATATATTACTTACATACTTAGGCCTGTTACTCCCAATGGAGCATAGGCCGCCGACCAGCAACCTCCGACCCACTCTGTCCTGGGCCTTCTTTTCTAGTTCCATCCAATTGTTATTCATTTTTCTCATGTTCGTCTCCATTTCTCGGCGTAATGTGTTCTTTGGTTTTCCTGTTCTCACTTACCCTTGAGGATTCCATGTGAGAGCATACCTTGTGACGCAGTTGGGCGCTTTCCTTAATGTTTACCCTATCCACTTCCAGCGCTTCTTCCTGATTTCTTCCTCCACTGGAATCTGGTTTGTTCTCTCCCGCAGTTGGTTGTTGCTAATAGTGTCCGGCCAACGGATCCGAAGTATTTTGCGTAGACAACTGTTAATGAACACATGTATCTTCTGGATGATGACCTTCGTAGTTCTCCAAGTTTCCGCCCCATACATTAGAATTGTCTTAACATTTGTATTGAAATTTCTGACTTTGGTGTTGGTTGACAGTTGCTTTGAGTTCCAGATGTTCTTCAGTTGTAAATATGCTGCTCTTGCTTTACCGATCCGCGCCATCACATCTGCACCAGATCCACCGTGTTAATCAATGATGCTGCCCAAATATGTAAAGGTTTTTACATCTTCCAAATCTTCTCCGTCAATTGTGATTGGATTGGTGCATGCTGTGTTGAATCGGAGAATCTTGCTTTTCCCTTTGTGTATATTGAGACCTACTGCTGCTACACTGGTCATCTTCGCCTGCATTTGTTGTTGCGTGTGCTATAGAAGAGCCAGATCATCTGCGAAGTCTAGAAAGTCCAGCTGCATCCTATCTCTCCACTGTATTCTGTGCTTCCCTTCAGATTTTGACGTCTTCATGATCCAGTCGATCACCAGGAGAAAGAGAAAGGGTGAGAGTAAGTAACTCTGCCTGACACCGGTCTTTACTTCGAACGAGTTTGTCAACTGTCCTCCATGCACGATTTTGCAGTGTAATCCATCATAGGAATTCTGTATGATATTGACTATCTTCTGAGGTACGCCGTAGTGTCGAAGAAGCTTCCATAATGTTGTTCTGTCCACGCTATCAAATGCTTTTTCATAGTCAATGAGGTTGATGTAGAGTGATGAATTCCATTCAATTGATTGTTCCACAATGATCCTTTGAGTTGCGATTTGGTCTGTACACGATCTATCCTTACGGAATCCTGCCTGTTGGTCACGAAGTTGGGCGTCTACGCAGTTCTTCATCCTGTTTAACAATACCCTGTTGAAGACTTCTCCCGGTATTGAGTGAAGAGTGATGCCCCTGTAGTTATCACAGTTTCTGAGATCGCCATTCTTCGGTATATTGACCAGAAGTCATTTTTTCCAGTCTGTTGGTACATGTTTCTCATCCCAAATCTTATTGAAGAGAATATGGAGTACCTTTGCAGTTACTGCTACGTCTGCTTTCAGTGCCTCTGCTGGAATGTTGTCTGGTCCTGTTGCTTTGCCACTCTTGATTTACCTGGTGGCCATGCTGATTTCTTTAAGTATTGGTGGGCCAACATCGATTAGGAGGTCCGTGGTTGCTGCTTCGATATTGGGTGGGTTCAGTGGTGCTGGTCGATTTGAGAGTTCTCTGAAGTGTTCTACCCACCTGTTTTGTTGCTCTTCAATGTTGGTGATTACCTCGCCTTCTTTGCTTTTCACTAATCGTTCTGGTTTACGGTGATTTCCACACAGTTTCTTTGTTGTGTCTTACAGTTGCTTCATGTTTCCTTCTCTTGCAGCCTTTTCCGCCGTCATTGCTAAATCTTCCACATATTTACGTTCGCCAGTTCTAGTGCTCCTTTTCACTTGTTTGTTTACTTCTGTGTATTCAGCTTGTGCCTTGGTTTTTTCTGCTCTTGTTCGACTGGTATGGATTGCTGTTTTCTTGTTCCTCCTTTCTTGAATCTTACGCAGTGTATCAACAGTGGTCCATTCTTTGTGATAGTGGTTCTTGTGGCCCAGAACCTCATGACATGTTGAAGTGATTGGTTCTTTTGTCCCTTTCCAGTTGCTCTCCATAGTAGTTCCTTCTCCATTGAGTAGATCATGAAAGGCCTGGACTTTATTGTTGAGGACTATCTTGAATTTGTTGAGTTTATCAATATCCCGGAGAAAAGCCATATTAAACTTTTGTGATATTGTCTGCCACGTTGTGCAGTGCTTCTTGAGTTTCGATTTCATCTTGGTGGTCAGCAAGTGATGTTCTGACGCTATATCAGCTCCTCTCTTGGTTCTCACGTCCTCTGTAGTCCTCCTGAACGTTTTGTTGATGCAGATATGGTCGATTTGGTTTTGCGTGGTGTGATCCGTGAAGTCCATGTGGTTTTGTGTATGAGGTTATGTGGGAATATAGTTCCGCCTATGACTTGATTAAATTACTTACATAATGATTCAATAGAATGAATTTTAATATATATTATCTGGTAATTCATCAGTAAGATTTAACAAATACTTCTTAAATATTATGATTTAATTTAAAGTGATTAGTAGAGACCACTGATAACATGATACCGCTATAATGTCTATTTCTTTATAAGGTAGTCATACATTCAAATGAAGAATTATATTGATTTGTAATAACTGCGAAAGTAACCTTTGATCAGGCAGATATTATTATTTCCTTGTATAAATCGACTTAATTTATCTATAATTGCTTGTTATTATAACATCTTTATATCTTCCTTTTTTTATTGTTGAAGAAATAGATTGTATTTCATAAACTATTTAATGTAACGATCTTTATCGTCTAGTCACATATAATAAAATAGTTTTTCTTTACATTATGATGTTCAATTATAAATTTCTTTTCAGATTATTTGATAGTTATCTTTATTGAATAAACAAAACAAAACAAATTACATTAAAGGATTCTTACTATTATTGTTCTTAAGTTATCGATACTACTTAGTTATCAATTTCTCCAACCATTCCTATTTGTTGATTAAAGAAGAAAAGAAATAAACAAACAAACAAATAAGAAATTACGAAATGGGTGTAACATAAATCTATTACATTCAATATGATTTCATGTCTGTCAATTGAATATGAAAGAATTAGTTAAACAAATATTATATGCTTCAATAGTTATTAAAGATTTCTCTCAACTATTATGTCAGTTGTAGTTTGTATTAAAATAAATTTTAATTTAAGTATTTTATATTTAAAATAATAATTTTAAGGTGTTATAATTTATTCTATAAAAAACAACAACAACAACAATGAAGCAAACAACTAGGTTAACCAAGATTATAAACATATTTAATGATGAATAGGTCAATTAATTCTATTCTTAATGTAAATTTGGAGCATAGTCAATTGTTTTTTTTTTCAATGAATGATATTAAAAAGGAAGTTTATATTGTAAATAAATGACTGAAGATTTCTCTAATGGGAACTGATCTAATTTGTTCGAGTAGACCAATAGTGATTTTGTCTCAGGTAAATAAACTATTCAAACCTAGTGTATAATTGTTAGCGGGACATGGACTGGATTAAAGCATGCTCAATGCACGATTGCCTTGGTGCACGCTGATTGGCTAATTCTTATCCAATCAGCACTAGGCGATAGTTGGAGAATACTCTAGAATCTTCTCATGTAAAAACTATAGATATGTTGACGTTTTCTCTATCGTGCTTCTGGCTTGCATCTTGCTTCCATCTAACCTTGTTATTTGGAATATAATCGTTTTCCTGTTCAACCGTGTTCTGATTTGGGGACTTATCGAGAGATTTGGTGTCCAAGACTACTAAGCAATAGGAATACCTGGGTAATAACCGTAAGAGAGAAATATAACAATAATGTAGGACATTTGTTATTGGTCTCTTTTTTTTGTTTTTAAAGAAATTCAATTTTGTGGTGGTAATTGTTATTGAATTTAGAAATAAAAATCATTTTAGAGAATTTGTTCAACTACCAATTGAATAAAAATCTTGTCAACAGTTCTGCATATAAACAGTTTTATTGTATTGTTTGTAACTGTGAGATTAAATTATTCTTTTAAGATGTTTCAAATTGTCACCAGTAATCCACTTGGATTTATTCAAATATTTCAAGTGGAGGACACACAACTAAGGTAGATAGAATAATAGTTGAAAGTCTTATGTTAAAGTAATATGCTTACATTTTAAAACTCTTGCTATGTATGAAGTTAGAATATCCACATAATAACTATTAGTGGAAATCAATTGAGAAAACACGTATTGATAATTGTAAACATATGCATAATAGTAATATGAAGTAGAAATTGTTTTGATTATTATTCAATGAAATTTTTAATGAATCAAACTATCATAGTTTTACTTGCTATACTCTTATTTATGAAATGTTTAGCTGTATTTAACTCGTTCATAGATACGGATCATATTTACTGATCACTTTGATTATTCAAAATAATCAATAAATCATTTCAAACATTAACGAAATAACTTCTCTAAAATTCTTATATTGTTTTGTATGAGAAAAATATTCCCTTAGTGTTCGTGTATCGATATTTGAATCTTCATAAAAGAGTTTAGACTATTTAATTCTTTTGATAAATCTAAGTAAATCAATGAACAGAACTATGGTAATGTATTTACACAATACATATCGAGTAATCTGATTATAAATTGACTTGTTAATTTATTTATACGAAGATTAGGAAGACATCAAACTAAATAAACTGGAACATGAAAAATGAAAAACATCATATCACTCTAGATATTAGACTGAGATCATTAATAACAGATTAAGTTTAATCTAAGTACTAATGATTTCTGAACACAAGTAGAGTTTGAATTTTCTGGTGGCTGAGACTACAACGAACCTTAATATTTCTCACTGTACAACAATAAAAGGCAGAGTCGAACTCAATCCTACTAAATGTTTAGAGCTGGAAAGGGGTCATTATTTATAATTAGTTCTTATTGGATTTTATTTGTTCTCGCTAACATTTAGGTATGTTTAGCTACCTTTACTTGCGAGTCATGATTACTCCTTCCCATGTTTATCTGTCCAAGCGTAGACACAAATTGGCAAACAATGGGGTATCGAGAAATCCTTTACATGCTGCTCTGGTTTTTGAAGAAACACAGACCTTGAGTTTTAGTAACAATAGTAGTACACTTTTTACTTTTTTTAGTACAATGATAGTCGACTCGCCTCGTATGACTAGGTGACATATACCTTCAGTTTACGTGTCACAATAGTTGTAATTTAGAATATACAAATAGATATATATTCTGCACCATTATTTCATGTGAAAGTTTCAACCTCAACAATATCATTCCTGTATACATGACCAGTTATATAAGCCTAGTAAATAGGATCTCACTTTCTTATCTCGAGCTAAGTAAATCATTGAAATTGGGAGGATATGCTATGTTTAGATAAGGCAATGAGATAAAGAATATTTTCAGAACTGTGTAATATATTAGCTTAATACATACCGAACTATCTAATCACAAATTTATTTCTAATATATTACACATGAAAACATATAAACGGTTGAACTTCATCTGAATATTTTCTGTATAAAATATTATTCGACATAAGTTTTATTCTTTGAACAAAATAGTTTTAAGTCAGTTCAGTCAGCAACAACGTAGAAATCCGTACGTACGTACATCAGTCCGAGTTGCCATACCACATTAGCACAGAAATACAATTGTCGATTCAAATACTATAGTAGTAGAGGTAGTAAAAGTATTAGCAGTAATCAGAAACATTAGGGTTTGAAGATGTTAAAGAAGGAGTATAATTCAGTGAAATAAATTTGGAAAGAGAAAAATGTGACATAAAGATTTCAGATTAGAATTTGGGAGAACACAAAAAGTGGATACACCTGCGCCATTGCAAATGATTTCGAGCCATGTCATTCAAGGTCTCTAACCATCGGTTGCGATCATCTCGCGGTCCCCAACCAGGTAGTCTACACCTACCAACATGACTCAGTCCACTTGTCAGTGACTTCATGAATTTGTGCCATGTTTTGGTCTGGCCGCCTCTAGCTTTCTTCCAACCTACTCCTATTCCACTGAACATCGCACGTTGAGGCAGTCGGTGGTTGGGCATACGTAACACGTGTCCCAGCCATCTCAACTGATGAAGTTTCACTACTTCATCAATTGATTTGCCATCCTTACCTAGTACCCGTTTCCTAACACATGTGTTACTTACTCGATGGTCCCAGGATATACGAGCAATGTTTCGAAGACACCTATGATCAAATGCTAGTAGCCTACGAATATCCTCTAATCTTGCCGGCCATGTTTCAGAGCCATTAAGTAGGACGGAACGAACTGCTGTGCAGAAAACATGTTTTTTTGGTTGATAGACGGATATCTCGCCTACGCCATAAATGACGCAAGTTGGCAAAAGCTAGTCGAGTCTTCTGTATCCGTGCTGAGATTTCGTCACACACATTAGACCACAAGGGCTGATGAGACTTCCCAGATAAGTGGAGCGGTCGACACACTCAACTACTCCACTCCCTATCATTAGTTCGGGTGTCAATGCAACCGAATCCTGAAGCAACATTTTGCATTTCGAGGGGGAGTATCGCATCCCAAACATGCTCGCATTGTTGCTTATAGTGGTCAGAAGACTGCATTTTGTCAGCGTCTTCACTAAACAGAACCATGTCATCATCGTATTCTAAGTCAACAAGCGGATCTCCTGGTAAATGTCATTATCGTTTATTGAATGAACTGTAGTCCATATTTAAAGAATATGTATAATTGGTTTAGTATGTGTAGAGTTAATTCATAATTCACAAGATTGCACATTTTGATTGGTATGTGAATGTACTTGTATTCATCAATCAAAAACACAGTTATTTTCATACTACTGTATTTTAGTCACGAAACTCAGGATCAACAATATACACAAGTGAAGGAAATAACTGCGCAACTAAAAATTAGTTCTTTTCAAAGATATGGAGGTGCACTTAATATTTAAGTACTGGGAAAACATCCTACATAAGGGGTTAGATAAAAAAGTTTAAACATTTACTCTGATACTTAAAAATTACTTGTTTAAACTACCGAACTGCAGCTCAAAAAGTTTGGAGTACAATGTGATATGGTTTCAACATTACAGAACAATTTACTTACTTACACCTGTTACCCCTCGGGGAGGAGCAAGACCACGCACCAGCATTCTTCATCAAACTAGGTTCTGAGCAACCCATTCCAGTTACTATTCACCCTTTGGATGTCAGCTTTCAGTTCCTGACGCAATGTGTTCTTTGGTCTTCCTCTTTTCCGTTCCCCTTCAGGATTCCAAGTTAGCGCTTGCCTCATCATGCAGTTTGATTATTTCCGCAATGTGTGTCCTATCCACTCCTAATGTCTTCCTCTAATTCCCTCTTCATCCAGAAGTTGGTTTGTTCTCTCACACAGTGGGCTGTTGCTGATGGTTTCTGGTCAACGGATATCGAGTATCTC